CTTTCTGCGACTCGTGGCCTTCGTGGACCACCCCAAGGGCCTGTTGGCTCCCTCTTGACCTGTATTGGGGCCTTCTGCCCCCCCAGATGCGTTCACCCACCTCCCGGGGGACCCCCCCCGTCTCCAAATCGACCGGGCCAGGCTCCCAGGAGAGGGGTTTTGGGAGGGGGGAAACATCCTTTTCAACATGCGATGTTGGAGACTGATAATTTGCTTAAGGGGGACCCTAGCGGAATCGCCATTTTCGGCAGTCTCGAGGTCGCTCTTGGACCGTTTGGACCGTCCGTTGTTCGAATGTCGCGCTCTCCAAGTTTGGACTGCCCGTGTTTCTCAGCTGCGTGTTTGCCCCGTTTGGCCCGGCCCGCCTTTGCCCTGTCGCCCCAATTAGAGCTGTGCGTAGCCCGCCTAGCTTTTATCGGAAGAGCTTCGCTCTCGCCCCGCAGACCAAACAAGTTTTCCCCGTTTGGGCCGCCCGCTGTCCGAATGCTTTTTTTTTTTTTTTCAACTTGGGCTGTTCATCAGTGCTCCTGTCACAGGGAGAGTGTGCCGAAGCCATGCGCTACTCAGTGCTTGGAGCGCCCGGGCCGCTTGGACCGCGTGACTTCCCCGTTTGGGCCGCCTGCTTTCCAGAACCATTTGTCTTTTCGTTTTGGTCCAAGGAGACTCTCGGGCCGTCTTCGGGCCTTCTTGAGCTGTCTTGGGGCCCTCTTGGGAGCCTCTTGTGGCGTCTTGGAACGATCTTGGCGGTATCATGAGCCCTTCAGGTCTGTCGGAAGCTTGAAAATGCGAGAGCGCCCAAAAACCGAAAAGGGATGGCCGATTTGTGCCTCTTGAGGCCATCTCGGGGATCCTCTTGGAGCCCTCTTGAGACTTTTTGGAGCCTCGTGGGCTGTCTTGAAGCTCTCTTGTGCCGTCTTAGACTGCCCTTGGACTGGTGCCTCTTGGACCCTCTGGGGCCGTCTTGTAGGTAATCTTGGACAGTCTTTGGGTCCTCCTAGAGACAAGTTTGAAACCATCTTTGACCATCTTGAGGTCCTCTCGGGCCGCATTATTGGGCTATGCTGGGCCGTCTTGAGGCCTTCCATGAGCGACCCCGAGACGATGTTTCGAGTCCCAACAATGCTTGCAGCACTAGGGGTTCTTACTTCGGTTTACCATCTCGGGACCCTCGCGGCAAAACCGCCGCCGTGCCGCCCGTCGCCGCCCGTCGCCGCCCTTCGCCGTCGCCGCCCGTCGCCGCCATCCCCGCCCGTCGCCGCCCGTGCCGCCCGTCGCCGCCCGTCGCCGTCGCCGCCCGTCGCCATCCCCGCCCGTCGCCGCCCGTGCCGCCCGTCTCCGCCCGTCGCCTTCTGTCGCCGTCGCCGCATGGCATACATTGCACCGCATACATATATACATATATATTGCATTACATCGGTTGCATCGCGTACACTGCACCACATTGGTTGCACCGCGCAGACTGCAGTACATAGGTTGCACCGCGTACATTGCACCACATAAATTGCACCGCATACATTGCATTACATAGGTTGTATCGCCGCATATAGTGCACCACATAGATAGCACCGCATAGGTCGGAGGATGGGGGGTGAGATCGCAGTGAAACGGAGACCCCCCACTGGGAAATCGGTTTCGGTTTCGTGTTCGTGTCGTGCGTGCGGGCGACGCGAAGCTGCGCGTGGTCCTCCTGTAGCTAGGCCGAATTAGGAGCGAAAGTTCGTTCCCGTCCGCCGGTGGCTGGGAGGTGTCTCAGTTGGGCCGGGCGGTGTCCCGGGTGTCCCGGGGGTCAATAGGAGCGAAAGTCCGTTTCCCGTCCGCCGGCGGCTTGGAGGTGTCCCAGTTGGGCCGGGCGGTGTCCCGGGTGTCCCGGGTGTCCTGGGCGTCCCGGCGCTAACGCATGTCGCTAATTTCATAATTCTTTTTTTTTCGGCGCCTGCGGCGGGCTTTCTGATCCAATAGTCCATATTGTCCAATCCAATCCATCTTATCTTATCTTATCCAACCCATATTGTCCCATCTTATCTTATCCCACCCAATCCAATCCACCCAGCCCAATCCATCAATTCATTTGTTTCTCAATCCCCCCCACCTTCGTTATCGCCCGCAGGGCTGTCGTATAGGTAGTTAACACGCTCCCTCCGCACCACCATCCAGTTGCCCTTGTCATCATTGCTGTTGTACTGACTGGTCGTTTGCAGCCACTCATACTCGAGAGGTATAGGATAAAAAGGAACGAGCTAGCTTTCGCGCGCGTGTGGGGTGGTTCCCCCATCGTAGTCGTGTCGTCGGCCGGCCGGCCTCCTCCCTACCACATATATCTCTTTTATCTCTGCACGAAAGAGATGGGCACGGAAAGAGTGGGTACAATGCTCAACAGCAGTTCTTGTTCATTTTGGACAGGATTCGCTGTCGGCGCCGCCGCGGCCTGTGTCCATTCGAGAGAAGGCCGCCCGCCCAACAGTCGCCGCTGTTGGTTTGGGACAACATTTGTTGTTGGGCATTGTACCCATTTTTTCCGTGCCCATTTCGGGCGTCCAAATTATCCGCTTAATGGAACACCCCTTCCTTGCCATGGCTTCGGCGATGCCCCCTGAGTTTTCCTCGCGGAAGTTACCTTCAGGGGTAATCGAGAGTACATCGGAACATATTGCAGGGATGGTCAATATCCAGGCAAAAAGCTGGTTATTAGCCGAAGCGACGGCTCAGCCGTCGGCTCGCTGGACAGGGGGACGACAGGAAGGAACGCTCGGATAAATAGAACGACAAAATTGCCCCGAGCGTATTACTAAGGAAGGCGCCCCAAGGGGGCGACCTCTTTCTTTCAATCTTCCTGGTCGGCAAGCATCGGAGTCTGCGTTTGATTTAACAGAGGGGGATTCCCCTATATATCATCAGAATACAAAAAGAGTTCCAGCGCCAGACAGAGGGCACGGCCCAGCCAATGCTACCAAGGGAAGGCCATCAGAGATAATATCAGCGCAATCAAGCCCGAGGATATCAGTTCATACGAAGTACGATCAGCAGAGCCCGCCGAGAAACGTTCCCATCCAGCCCAGCCGGTGGAAGTCGCTATATCAACGAACAACTATCACGACGTATAATGAATGGGCAGGGTGGAGAAGAAAGCGGCCCTCAGTCGGAGGAAGAGAGTCTGCATCCAATGGAATAGAACGAGGATTATGCTAGCTTTCAGACGTGTCCTGGACCATCGTATCGCCCGAATCCTGTTCAGAACTCGCCTAACGGACCCGCCTCAGGCTCAGGCCTGTCGGATACCGAAACAATTGATCATGGACCAGCCGAAGCCCTTCGAAGGGCTGTCCCTGATTCCGTATTCGGATGAAGATCTGGACGGAAGGACCCCCGGAAACGGGGAACTATATAGGCCGTGGAAGAGGGGCCCTCGGCTCAGCCGACGGGGCACTTACCTGACGCCGCGCGCCTGGCTCGGCATGCACAAGGAGGCCGATTGGTGCGACCCCGCTGCCAAAGACAAAGACAACCAACAGCGAAACTGATGACCGCAATCCTCCACCGTTGTCGAAGGGATTCTATCGACAAAACCTCGTGCCACCGAGAATGGACCACCGTAGTGTACCAGAGTTTGATGCATTTATCATGCAGGATGAAAAAGGATGAACAAAAGGAGAAGTCACAAGGTACTCAATGGAACGTGGGGCCGAGACTGAGGGGGCAGAGCGCGCCGACGTCGAGCAGGTGTCGGGGAAAGGCCCCGAGAGCGGGACGTTCTAGCTCCAGAAGAGTTGATTATTTTGAGTCCCTTCGTCCGTCGTCAAATCGGACTACGAGCAGCTTCTCTATCCGGGAAAGTTGCTGGATAGCGGGCACGGGATGCCCGCCTCAGGCGGATAATCGTTGCCCAGGAGAAGCACGCAAAACCGGGGGCCCTGTGGCCGACCCGTACGTGCCCAATTCTCTCAAGTGTGTCCGAAGTGCAGTTTGTCGTGGTTTTGCGAGGAATGCATTGCGTTAGAAGTGCATAGCAGTCGTCGCGTCGCCATCAGAGAGCGGGAAGAGAAACAGAGGCAAGACAGGGAGAAGCTAAGGGCAGCATGTGCACAGATGCAACATATCCTTTTTCAGGCACGTGTGGACAAAGCGGCCATTGAACAAGCCAGCCGCCGGCTCGCTGAATCCTAAGCATCACAGCCGCTTTCCACGCCGCGCGCTTCGAACAGCGCGAGGCCGCAGCTGCCGTCCCACCGCGTCGCCCGAAATGCCAGCGCACGTTCGCACGCAAGCTTGCAGAGCAAGCTTTCGCATCGCCATTTACCGTCATTCTGCGCAAACGCATCGCGGCTTGGGGCCTCCAGGCGCCGTCGGCGCCAGGAGAGCTCCAAAAGCGTTGGCCAGAGCTCGCGGAATCATTCAAAACGGTGCGACCCAGCTGGCGGTGGGCCACCTTTAAGACCCTCAGCGGTGGCTGGACCACCACTGGACGTATGCATGTGCTCGCCCCAAAACAGTGCGTTTTCGGGTGCGGGAGCCAGGCTGATTCATTTCCCCACTACCTCACCTGCCCCTCGCTTTCGAGCCTCCTCTGGTCTCCTGATCCTCCCCTCCTCCGTTCGACGCTCGCTGCCTGGGGCCTGGGGCCCGCAGCTGCGTCCCCGCCCGAGAGTCAGGATCCGCTATCGTTGCGCTCGACGATGGAGCGCATCACGCTAGCGCTTCACCTTTACAACAAAATGAAGCATCACACTGACTCGAGCTCCCGCCCTGCGGCGTCGGCCGCAGCGAGCCGAGCTGCCAAAACATTACTTTACAGGTGAGAGAGCTAGCGACGGGCGCCGCGGACGATCATCACTTGCCCTCGTCTCGCCTCGTGCCCGCTTGCCCTCTTTTCGTCTCTTTCAGGTACCTTAACTCCGCCTCCTCCTGTTCCTCCTCCTTTCTCCTCCTCCTTTCTCCTCCTCCTCCTCCTCCTCCTCCTCCTCCTCCTTCCCACCCCTGCCGCCGCGGCCATGGCCGCTTCTCGCAGGTTCATGCTCGCCATCGCGAAGCTGGACGGGGCCTCCGCGCTGAAATACGCGTCCCCAGAGCTGAGGCCAGCTCTCGGCTGCGGGGGGAGGGAAGAGTGACGAAGGGGAGAAAGGGGAGGGGAAGCAGGAGCGATGGGGGCGGGAGACGAGCGGGGGAGAGGACAAGCAGCTCGAGAGGAGGACAGTGCTGTGGGACAGTGCGGCGATGCTTTTGGGGCGGGGGGACGCGCATCGCGCCCCCCCGGCCCGTCATCCCGAGCGCGTTCCAGGGCGCTCGGGCGCGGCGCGCGGCCGACCTCGGGCCTCCCGAGGCACCCGCCCGTCCGCGCTGGCCGCGGTGACCGTCCCGCCCGCGGCCGGCGGGGGCCTGCGCCGCTCTCCTCGCGCGTCGCCCGTTCGAGCGCGAGCGCCGCCCTGCCGCCGTTTGCGAGATAAGCGCCCGTCTCAGGTATCAGTGACAGGACAGCGCAGCTCGCCCCCCCTCGCTCCGGGAGGAACGCTTCCGTGGCAGCTTACCGCCGCCCAGTATTCCCGGATAGTTCTTGGAGAGCTAGGAGGGCTTCAGATTAGAAGCCGGAAGGTGGTGGTGCCAGCCAGCAGTTCACCCTCGCCGCTGTCCGCACGCATTTCAAGGTTGACGAAGCAGCCGTGCCCCCCACGCAGAAGTGGGCGTTGATTTCGCAACACGTCGCGCACCCCTTTGGCGCATTCGTTGGCCAACACTGGGATGCGGGGCGCGGGGGCGGGGCGCCTTGTCCTTCCATAAGTGGGCGTTTATTTTGCAAGTGGCGGTCGTCCTTGTGCCCTCTATCGCACGCCGGGTAATTAGCCATTCGGTTGCCTCGAACCGCCAGTCGCTGGAGCGGACCGCCTCTGCCTCGCCGCCGACGGAAAGGTGCGAACGCGAGCGTCCACTCGCCGCCTTCTAGACTCGCGAAGCTCGGAGGTGGACAGAAACCCCACCCTGACACGTCGATTAGTGAATTGTCCGTTTTCGGTTCTCGAGAGGGCGCCGCGGCCGTCATTCTCCAGGCTTGCGCCCGTCAGGTTTGGGCCCGAGGTCGTTTTCACTAAACAGCGTTTTGCTAAAGGGGGCTCCTTCCATCCCCGAGAGGCCCCCGATGCCCGGAGGCCGCTGGGGACCGGGGCGCGATGCCAACACGCAGGCCCACTGCAGCAGCGGGCGGGTGCCACGGCGGGCGCGCTGTTGCCGCCGGCCGCCGGGCCCGCAGCCACGGTGCGCGGTGCCTTGGTGGGGGGCGCCTGCAGCACCAGCTCCCCCTCCAGGTCCGTGCTCCGAGGCGGGGAGTTCTACATGACCGCCGCCTCGAGGATCAATTCTCGGGGGCCTCGGCGGGCGGTGGATCGGGACATGTTCGGGCCCCCGGGGGCCGAAACAGATGCCTGCCCACCGCCCGCAGGGGCGCCAGGACGTCGATTCCGGGCGGTGGCTATGGCAATGGATAGGAGTCCCCTCCTGGTCCGTGCGGCGCCCTGGGCCTCGCCTTGGGCCCTCTCGCGCTGGTCACCTGGGCCTCCAGTCCCGCTCGCCGCTCCTCGCGGGATCGCGGTGGCTCGTCCGCTGGTGCTGCGGCCGCCCCGTTCTCATCGGGATCGGCCGCTCGCTCCCGGTGCCAAGCTGGCTGCCGCCGCGGCCGTGAGGAGCGAGGCCACGTCCGTTCTCCTGGCTGGCCCTTGCGTGGCCTCCACTCGTCGCGAAGTCGTCAGCTATGAGCGAGGCCTCCTGCTCCTCGGCTTCACGGTCCGTGGACAGCTGCGGCTCGAATGCTTCCGCATCAGGTCGGTCTTCCTCGGCGTGTTGAGTTGCTCCAGCTGCTGCGCCCGCGGCTGCTCTTCCTTTGGTGCAGCCTCGGGGTGCAGCGCGCGTGCCGTCAGTCCAGGCTTCACGAAGCCGAAGACTCTTGCCACCAGCCTGTGCGCTTCCACTCCTCTTGTGTTCCCACTGGCTGTGCCGCTTGGCATGCAGGCTGCTCTGCGCAGGCGTCCGTTGTTGAGCCAGGCACGTTGTGGCAGATCTCCTCAGCCATGGTGTGGAGGCGGCGGTGTCCTGCCCCTGGGGGGAGGTGCTCGGCGAGGATGTGGCAGCCCTGCGCCTGCAAGGTCTGGAGCACGTGCGGCACACAGGCGGTGCTCGAGCTCTGCGGCGCCCCTCGCGTTCGGCGGGAGCCGCCACTTCGCCAGGTCGTCCATGGCTCGCTGCAGATCGTCCAGGCCTCGCTGCTGCGCCATGGGTGCCGTGACCCTGCCGAGAACCTCATCCTCCGTGCTCCCTCGTGGCAGGGCAGGCTGCTGATCTTCCGATCAGCAGAGCTGGCGCAGCGGAGGGGCGCGAGCAGGCTTGCGCTTCCCCTCGGCCTGGTCTGACCTCCTCCGTGTCGCCTTCGCCGTCCAGTCCTGCCTCTTGCCTCTTCTACTCCGTATCTGCTGCTGCTGCGCCCCCTCCTCTTCCTCCTCCTCCTCCTCCTCCTCCTCCTCCTCCTCCCCCCTCCTCGTGTCCTCCCCCTGCTCTTTTCTCGCTTCCCATCCCTTCTGCTCCTGCTGTTCGTGCTCCTGCTCCTGTTGAACTTACTTGACGAACTTACGAACACAAAGTTTCCCCCCTGCACAGCAGGGTCCAGCTCTTCAGCGGCAGGATCACACTATGCATTATGTACGGTTGCTCTTCGTGGACACTCACGAAGGATATGCTCATCACGTTTTATCGAACGCAACGGAAAATGTTCCGACTGATCATAAGTACGCCGGGAAGACGGAATGCGCCAGAACAAACAAGACAGACAACACACGCCCGCAGCAACAACAACAACGGTACAAACGCCGACAACAACGCCATCGATTCCAGTAACGACAGCATCACCAACAACGGCATCGGACGACGACGACAACGGCACCAGCACCAGCACCGACAACAGCACTAGCACCAGCACCGACCGCAGCACCACAACCAGCACCGACCGACAACAGCACCAGCACCTGCACCAGCACCAGCACCGACAACAGCACCAGCACCAGAACCGACACCAGCACCGACAGCAGCAAACGACGGAAACAACGACGACGGATCTGAATCTTGGTATCATCTCATACGGAGAAGTACTTCCACCGCTCTGGCGCTCGCCAAGCGAGCACGAGTCGACGATTGGACGGACGTATGTGTCGCCAACCACGATCACGACAGGTTGAGTGCGAGTTGGGATGCATGTTCACATGATTTACGCCCAGCTTTTCGCCGATGACATTGTTTTTTATCTGCGCGACATGGCTGCCACAGACAGCGACTCCAGATGGTCGGAGTTGGCCGAAAACCCACCATGGCGAAATGCTCGTGAAGAAGATTTCCTCGAATCCATGCGTCGTCTTGTCTCCTCCAGCAAGTGCGACGCGTGAGCCCTCTGGCGCTCTGGCGCCCCCGCCGGGCTCTCACAGGGCCGCCCCCCAGGACGTTTCCCGGCGCTCTCTCGCCTTCTCTCTCTTCTTCCTGTCGCCTCCACTTCCTGTCCTCCATGTCTTCGTCGTTGTCGTCGTCGTTCCCCTCATCCACGACTGCCGTGGGCCTGGATGATCGAGCACATCGGGCGGAGGGAGGAATGGTGGAGGTTTGAGGAGGGTGAGGGAGATTTGGATTGATGATGCTGTGAGTGTGCGTCTTTGGGTATGTGGAGGAGGATGGGGAGGATGAGGATTGACGAGGAGGGCGGGGAGCAGACGGACAACGAGGAGGAGGAGGCGGAGGGGGGATGACGATGCGAATGGTGATGTTGTGCGGTATGATAGGCTGGGGATAGAGAGGAGGACGTTCGGCGAGGAAGACAGGCAACGTAAAGCGAGTGTCACGACTTACTGACACTGGTTCAAAGGCGCATTTGCTTCATGAGTCCCGCGACAGAGCCAGACAGTCACTTTTGAATTCTTGCGCTGTGGTTGAGCTGGTTCGATGACCACGTGTGTAAATGCTTGTGTTGCTGCACTTTCCCTTGTACTGTTCGTGATTATCTTGCAATTCAAAAGCAGGATGGTGCGCACCATACATTCGACCAGGTTGCGCGTACATGCCATTCTACTTGATTGGATTTCTCGTTATCTCGGGGGGGTCGTGTAGCTGGGAGCGTTTGGTAACGTCACTGAACCAGCAATGGCATATCTCCGAGTTGTTTGTCTGGGTCCTGCGCCACTCGTCTTGTGTTTTGTGGCCGCGAAGCCAGCTGGAGCGAGGTCCGACCGCGACGTCGCTTGGGCAGCGGTGCTGCAGTCCAAGGAGGCCCTGAGATACGTCGCTCCCGAGGATCATGCGTCACGAAGCTCGCTTGCGTTGCCACGGGAAACTGTCATTGTCACAAGGTGGGGCATATAATTCCTAGTGTTTTTTCGATTCCTTCAAGTGTTTGGCACTTACGTGTTCGTTGCGTGTGTCCTTCCAGACAGGATGATTTTATTGGGCCTTGCCAGGTTGTCTGCGCAGAGGATGCTGCAAAGGTTCTCGCGGAGGCTGGTAGGTGAGACCGAAGTTCGTACACCGCCACCCTGCCTGGCCAGTACCATCTTTGACTTTGGTATGGAGTGAACGTCCTCCTGGCCGAGGCCAGGAGGGTCTGTGCACCATCCTGCTGTCCAGAACGGCCCTGGTCAGGTATGGTAGTGGTGTAGATAATACACCACCACCATACCGATTAAGCACTCATTCAGTGCTTCCTACCTCCAAAGGAAGCACTTGTATATTATGCACCACCTGTCTCCGAAGGAAGCACTTATTAAGTGCTTCCTTCGGAGTCAATCCTCGATCTTCCCTTCACCTCCGCCGCCGCATTTTTTGGAGGCCGTGGGCTCCTGGGCCCCGGCCGTCGTCGTCGTCGTCGTCGTCGTGGTCGTCGTTGTCGTCGTCGTCGCGGTCGTCGTCGTCGTCGTCGTCGTCGTCGTCGTCGTCGTCGTCGTCGTCGTCGTCGCGGTCGTCGTCGTCGTCGTCGTCGTCGTCGTCGTCGTCGTCGTCGTCGTTGTCGTCTCCTGGGGCTGGCCAGCCTTGTCATCCCGAGTCGTCTTGTGGACGGTCCCCCGGGGCTCGGGAGCCGCCCTCGGACATGACGAGGATGGGACAGACAAAAGCGGCCTTCGCGTTTTGTTGTTTGTCCTGTTTTCGTGTTTGTGAGTTTGTTAATTTGTCCTCTTCTTTGTGTTCGGAGCAGGAAGAGGTACCTTTAATTACCACTACTTACCCTTGCCCCGTTGTCTCCTTTTTAGGCTTCCTGGGAGGTCCTCGTCGCCACCGCTGGATTCGCCCTGAAATCCTGGTCAGAACGCACCTCAGGCGAGGTCCGGGGAGTGGCGGTGTCGGTACCTTTTGGTTTCCCCAGGTGTTGCAACGTACAGGCCACATAATGGCGATGATGATGCCGTCTCAGTGTCGTGGTGCAAAAGCGTACAGCACCACGTGGCAACCAAAAGGCTCTGGCGAGGCTCCCGCGATGTCGCACTGTCCTGAGTTGAAATGCTGCGGTAAAAAGGATCCTTGACAACGCAGGTGCGTGAACGAATGGACCCTCGCTCCGGCAGGCGGGGTGTCTGGGCCTCGGGTGGTAACCTTTTCGAGGCCGAATCGGGCACAGAAGGAAACTCTTGTGTTCGGGTTTCCGGTTGTAACCGATCGACGGCCGAATCGGAGGCTGGGAGAAACCACTCTTGTCTGCGGGCCGGCGGTGCCAACCCATCGTCGGCCGAATCGCGCGCAGGGGGGAACTCTTGCGTCCGGGCCGTGGGCGGGTCGAATCGGGAACGGGGGAAAGCCCCTTTGTCTCCGGGCCGGCGGTGGTAACCCATCGTCGTCCGAAACGGGCGCAGGGGGAGACCCTTGCGTCCAACCCGTTGGTGGTAGCCCATTGGCGGCCGAATCGGGAGCAGGGTCTCCGGGCCGGCGGCGGTGGTAACCCATCCACTCGCCTCCCTCCCTCCTCCTCTCTCCTCTTCTTTCTCCTGTTCCGTTATGCGATGCTATGTTATGTTATGTCATGCTATGTTATGTTATGTCATATGATGTCATGTGGTGCTATGTTATGTTATGTTGTACTATGGTATGGTATGCAATGACATGCTATGTAATGCTATGCTCTGTTATATTATGATGGTGCTGAAGATAGAAGAAGAACACGATGCTGATGATGCTGCTGCTGACGATGAAGACGATGCTGATGATGCTGATGATTTTTCCCCGACATCAGGACCAAGCTGTTGAGCAACAGGTTTTAGAAAACATGATCGACCCACGGACCCGGAAAGGAATATAGAAATGTAAAGCTCTTTTCAAAGACACCTGATTGGGCGACGGGCAAATGCAATGTTGAGTGTATCGATCTTGATGTATTGTGCCGAGGGCTGTGCTGTGCTACGCCGTGCTTCACTGCGATGTGCCATGCCGCGATTGTGCTGTACATAGCGTTGTGGATCGAGTCCTCTTTGCATCCGAGTCCTGACCGAGCTGATCTTGATCTTAAGCTCGAGCTGCCTGAGCAGATGGTAGCTGCCCCAAAACTAATCGACAGAGAGGACAGGCCAGGAGGACGCGCCGCGGAACGTCCCAAGGGACGCGCCAAGCGACGTGCCAAGGGACGTGCCATGGGTACGCACCGCGGGACGTGCCAAGGGGACGCGCTGCGGAACGTGCCAATGGACGTGTCGCGGGACGTGCCAGGGGACGCGCCGCGCGACGTGCCAGGGGGACTCGCCACGGAACGCGCCAAGGAACGTGCCAAGGTGAAATATTGAGTGTATCGATCTCGATGTACCGTGCCGACGGCTGTGCTGCGCTGGGCCGTGCTGAACTGCGATGTGCCGTGCCGCGATTGTGCTCTATATAGAATTGTGGATCGAGTCCTCTTTGCATCCGAGTCCTGACCGAACTGATCTTGATCTTAAGCTCGAGCTGCCTGAGCAGATGGTAGCTGCCCCAAAACTAATCGACAGAGGGGACAGAACGCCAGGAGGACGCGCCGCGGAACGTCCCAAGGGACGCGCCAAGCGACGTGCCAAGGTACGCGCCATGGGCACGCACCGCGGGACGTGCCAAGGGGACGCGCTACGGAACGAGCCAATGGACGTGCACCGCGCGACGTGCCAGGGGGACTCGCCACGGGACGCTCCGCGGAACGTGCCAGGCAACATGCCAGGCTGCAATGCTAAGGGTATCGATATTGATGTACCGTGCCGAGGGCTGTGCTGTGCCTGGGCGACCTGGACACGTGAAAACACGCGTCTCGATCGAGACATTCTCAGCACATCCTCATGCCAGGCATCCGCCTGGGCAACCTGGACACGTGCAAACAAGCGTCTCGATCGAGACTTCCTCGACACATTCTCATGCTAGACATCCGCCTAGGCGACCTGGACACGTGAAAACAAGCCTCTGGTTCGAGACAACCTCAACCAATCCTCATGCTAGACATCTGTCTGGGCCACCTGGAGGCGTGAAACCAAGCGTCTCGCTCGAGACCTCCTCAAGACCTGGGCATGTGAAAACAAGCAGTCCACTTGAGAGATCCTCAGAATTCAGGTCCCCAGGAGAGTACAATCTATAACACAAAACCAGCGTTTCGCTCGAGACATCCTCAACAAATTCTGAAAACAAGCGTTTCGCTCGAGACATCCCCAACTCTGCAACACCAGCGTTTCGCTGGAGACATCCTCGACAAATTCTGAAAAACAAGCGTTTCGCTAGGGACATCCTCAAACATAATTCCGCCGGCCCACCTCGACTTCGATATTTATCAGGGAATAATTCCGCAGGCCCACCTCAAGTCAGACCCGGGGGTAAACAGCTAAAAGAGAACCCTGGGCCTGCGCCCTTTACGGGAAAAACGTGATCCGTCGCAGACAGCTCGATTGCTCCCTAAAGAGCTCGCTAGGAGCCGTGCTTCACGGGGTGCTACACACATGTGCGCGCGGTCCAGGGAAAACCGTAGACAGTTGGTTGCCCGCGTTGCATGCTGAGCGTTGGGAGGATCGGAGGTTGGAGAAGAGACCGTGGCTCAGGCTGGCCATGCAAGCCCCGTCGTGAGGCCAATCATCTCGAATTCGTTCAGGGGGAATCATGCTTGCATCTGGATAGCTCTCGGATTCGAGAGCTGATCGCGTGGGCCCTCGGGCCCTTCAAGATGGGCTGACCCGGAGTCGGCAGCTGCTGGGCCGCCTGGTCCAGTCGCAAGGAATGAATTTGCAGAGTCTGGCTGTGCCAGCCCTGCCGACTCCGAGTCTGCTGGCCAAGACAGCCTTAGAACCCGAGCTTTGGGGTTCCGCCTGCCGACGTCGTCTTTCCCTTCCCGTTTTTCCCTGTTTGGTCAGAGGTGGTCCCTGTCGCACGGCTTAGGAGGTCCTTGCGGGCCCCCTAGCGACAGCTGCGCAGGGGCAGTCCCGTGGGTTCCTTGGGCACGGGGGCGGACCTGGAAAGCCAGCCCGCCCCGATCGTCGCTCATCCCCACCCCTCCTCCCCCTCTCGTGGGGAGAAGACCAGCTTCTCTGGTTGCAACGCCGTCTAGAGAAGTTCCCGCCAGGCCCCAGACGCGGGCTCGGCGGGCCAGGCACAGAGCACTGCGCGCTCACCTTTGGAAGCAAACTTTTCTGGAATGGAGGCCGCCTGAGGTCGCCGTCAAAAAGGTCCCCGCTCACACCAGCGTGAATGAAGGCAATCAAGTGGCGGATAGGCCCTCAAGGACTTGGGCGGCGCTTGCCCGCAAGAGCAATGATGTGGTCTCGATGGCCAAAGGAATGCTCGGCCTGGCGCGCAGGTTGGTGAAGTATATCAGCAGGGCCGAAGCCCTCTATGCAGATCTGGAAGGGCTTGACCTTGTAGGAGCCCAAGGGCTCACTTTGTTTTCTCTCGGGGCCGCAGGCGAGTTGGAGGAAGCGATTTCGTGGACGTGGTGGGGGGAGGGGGAGGCGGCTGCTGCTTCTACTACTCCGTCCGCCCAATCCTCCTCCGCCGCAGGCCAGAGAGAAGTGCTGCCCCAAATGATGGCCGAGCGGGCCAAAGAAAAGCACCAGATGCCTGGTTTTTCCGCCAGCACTGTCTCCTGGAGGTTGAAGTGTTGGAGATATATCACCCTCCAACAGGTTCTTGTTCCGCCTGGGGAGGCCACGCAATGGCCTCCTCAGGGGCCAGGGGGCTGCGTTCCATGTGTCTTGGCCCGCAAAGGGCCCTAGTGGACCCTGGCAAGAGGTATACCAAGGCGCGTTTGAGAGCGAAGCACCCCACCAGACCTCTCAAGCTGGGCCCCAGGAGGTCTCCTGGGGGGACGGTGAGAG